TCAGGCAGCAGCAGGGAAACATGCAGAAAATGTTTAAAATGCTTTTACGTGATTAAGGTTGTATTATTTTAAAGTCTCTGGCATGAGGCACTGAAACCAAACAGGAAGTATCCTGTTACATCCAGGAGGCTGTGTGTGCAAATGGAGATGTGCGGGTGCACTGGATTTGCATGCTTGCCGGTGTGGTTGGCTTTGTTGTCATATGTTGCTATAGATAAATGTTGCGGGGATAATCGTTTTAACAAATGAGGCCAAGTATTGAACACTAATGCTCGTAATCTGAAGGCTGGAATCCACAGAAAAGTTCCCGAGAGAAATTTAACGTGTTGTAATGAAAATGATAAAATAGGTTACTGTTTAACAAACATGACAGTTTCAGTGAGGACCATAAAGGTCAATCATCAAGATTATAACACTTTAAAATTTTATTCAATGTTTTCTCTGAATCTACTTTAAAAGGGTAGTTCAGCGCTTTTGAAGAGGTATTCTGAAATAAAGTTAAGTTCTGATCAGACAAGGTAACGGCTAGTTCACGCTAGCTATCAGTTTCAAAAAATTATTTCTTAATGCAAAACTGCTGTCAATTTCATATTTTATCAGAAGTATTGTTATTAGTAGGGATGCACAATATTAATGGCATGGTGTCGGTATCGGCCAATTTTAGCGATAAAGTTAAATATCGGACATCGGCCATTTCATCTGATCGCTTTTAACATGAAAGCTGCGTCATAAGAAATTCTCCTTGCGTTTTCCATTATCGCAGAACAAATGAACAGGTGTGTGCATGAAGTGCAAAACCCGGTAACGACGCGGGAACGATTTTAAGAAATTAATCCACGTCTATCTTGAGGGCTGGTCCTCGAGAGTACCTCGTTGGTCATTCAGGTTAGACTTCTGGTCACATGATGACAGAGTGGGTGGAGTTATGGTTGGGTATTTGAAACCCTGAGCAAGAGTCGTTGTACGTCTCAGGTCTCTCTCGTAAATGAGTCCCTGAGGCTCAATGGGATTAACCTGTGTAAATAAAGGTTGAATCTGGATACCTGAGGGCATTCTCTCTGTGTCACAAACGCCTGCCCCCATGAGGGGCGGGGTGCTGGGAGCCACGAGCGCCCAGTTGTGTCAAAGGAAAATATTAGTCAGTGGCAGGAAACTACCGAGGGACGGCAGGACATCCTTCAAAATAAAATGTAAAAATTATGAAATTATGAAAAAAAAACATAAATAAGACACTCCTGCATATAAACCGCGGGGTGCAATGTGTGAGATATAAGTAGCGGCTAATAGAACGAAAATTACGGTAAATGTCATGAATAAATTTGACGCTAAACATAATCCAAGTTGAAGTGTTACATCATTTTCAGCCCCCATTTTGGCATCTGCATTTGGTAGCAGGCTAAACTGACAAAGACCGTGCAGAATAATGTAGTTTACTGGTAATTCACCTCAGAGAGGTGAGAGCAGTGGAATTTTGATATTCCGTGCTAATTTCACATCAAATCCTTTTTTTCTGCTTTTGTCTGAACCACATCTTACCAACGCCAGGTAACCTCATAAAGGGTCAACAATCTAAAACCATGTCCTGATGCGTGCTCAATAATCCAGGTAGATAAATCTCACAAGGTTGAGTCAGGTCCTCTGGACGGATTCTTCATCCACAGGACCTGACTCAACCTTGATAAATGTATAGCCATGTTCTGTATAGCCCAGAGAGCTGTAAACAACCTCCAGACACAGCAGGTTGGTGGGCCTCGAGCATCAAATGAGGTCAGTCACCGGCTGCCATAACTTAGTCATCACGGTGTACAGATGACAGTGAGTCTTCGACAGATTTAAAAGAGATGCTTGCCAGCGGAGACCGGAGCCGAAGTTGAAGGAGCAGGAATGAGCAGATGCAGAGGAAGAGAAGATGATAAATAAACAGGTCCACAGCGAGAGGGAAAGAAAACAGGACACAGCACAGAAAAAAGGAGGAACTTCATTATTTGTGGTTGTCTCAGCATTGTGTACAGTTTGAATGCCTGGGTGGAGCGCCGGCGTTTGGTACAATTATTTAACATGGCGTTGGCCCTTCACAGGAAACCTCTGCCATTTGGTGTTCGCTTTTATCTGCGAAGGCCTCACAGAAGCGCAAGCATATTCGTTTTGAGCTTAGTGGCCCCCGTGGGGAATGACCTTCTCCTTCCACTGCACCGCTGTGTGTTTTGGCAGACATTATGTTTTTAATAAAAGAGATTAAAATATTAAAACCCACCAGAAAAGTATGCTGACATTTTGTTACGCTTCATACTTTTACTCATTAACTCCTTTCAGAAAACAACTGGAACTTGAACAAGGAAGTGTGTACGGTGAAGCTGATGAGGAGCAGATGCATGAAGTTAATCATTGTCTCAGGGGATATTTTATATCTTGTCTTCAGTTATTAAGACATTCTTCCTTCGTGTTTGTCCAGGGTTAGAAGAAGGTACCGTTCTGTGTGTCTAAGCTTTTCTGCTGTAAGAGCTGTTATTGTAAGAACAACTCAACTTGAACTAGTGGAGTATCCCTACAAGCTTGTGAACCTGTTTTTGTGGAATAAACTTGCAGGAGTTATTGATTTTGAAATCAAATACCTAAAGTTAGACAAAAACAAAGACACCTACACTGCTTTTATCTCTGTTTTTCTTGTAGTGATGGGGAAACTGCACCATTGCAGCTACATGAAACAAAGACTGCGTTGTATATTTTTAATGTCACACCAAAAGATGTCGAGCATAATTTCTACTTTTATGGATTCCTGAACTGAGAGTGTGTAATATAAAGATACGAGCGTAACTGAGACTTAAAAATGTGCTTTTACACAGCGGGAGGAGAACCAATGAGGCAGTAATGCAGCAGGATTGATGGGAAAACAGCTCAGTCCTTCACTCAGAGGCTCCAGCATGACGTAGCGCCTCTCACATTCCTGACTTATTACTTAAAGATGTCTGCTTGTCATTGCTGCTCCGGCTTTCATGCTCCTAATGCCCATCAGCACCGCACAAGGAGGTTAAAGACGCAGTCGTCACGCACGAAGAAAACTACAACCAAGATGGTGTTTTTGCACAGCTTTGACTGGAATACGAGCGCTCAAAGTGGTTTTTAATCCTGTGTGACTTTATAAAGCTCACTGAGATGCAGCTTAGATTAGAAACACGAGAGCAGTTAAATAGGAAAACGTCATGTCTGGCATTTCTTGAACGAAAACTCGTCCTTTTTTTAGATCGTCTCATGATGAGAACCGTCTGAGCTGTTTTAGTCAAACCTAAAAATAATGTTGTGCTCCATCTCATGCCATTACTCAAATAACTTTTGTGTAGAACTTATCAGCAGCTGTCGCATAAAAATCTGGTTCAATATTTGTAAAATTGGCTGAATTATTTTCATTTTCGTGTTGACTAATGTGACAAATGTGGTGGCCATCTTGAATGAGGATGACTTCAGAAGTAGCTGTGCATCCAATGATTACTTTTTAAAGATGCTATAAAATTTCATTCAGTGGAGATATTTTGCTAACAGACAGACAAGGTTGACTCCCAACAGTGAATGCAAAGATTATATGCAATGTGCAGCACTTAGAGTATATTTTGTGAATAAATCTCAGCTACAAGTACATCAAATTTTTGAAAGAATTATAGTCAATTTTTTATTTTTTTTAAGTGAGCAGGCTTTGTGGCCGTCTTGATTCAGATATAAAGATTTATCAAATGATTATTTCCTCAGCATTTCATTAGAATCAGTAGTGAGTCATTAAATTTATTGCGGACAAAGTTGACTCTGATTAGTTCAAGTTTCTGCAAGTTCCATTTAAATTTGTCTATGATGTGTGGAACACAGTAATCCCTCGATTATCTCGGGGGTTTCGTTCCACACACCACTGCGATAGGTGAAAAACCGCCAAATAGGAACGTTATATTTATTTTAGTATTTATATATTTTAAGGCTTTATAAACCCTTCTCACACTCTTGCAAATGTTCTAAACTCTTAAACCTTTGCAATTTTACAACATATGTATATGTACTGTACAGTACTGCAACATTTTACTCACCAGCTCTGCAGACCAGCAGCTCGTTTCCGGTTCTGCAGACCTACCCTGCAGCGACGAAGCCCTCCGCCCTGTCCAGTCCAGCTTGATGTGCACGTGGATAATTGAGCTTCAGCATTATTTGTGACTTTCCTGCCAGTTCTATAACCTTAATAGATTGATCGCTACTTCTGACTTTACGTTGCAAAACGTTCCCTCTACTTAGCAGTAAGCAGCGACCGGAAGCACTATTGGCTTCTGGGTAGTGTAGTTCTTTTGACTTGTGTTACAGTGTAGGATTATTGAAAGAAAACTACAAAATGGCGGCGCCTGTCCGAAGTATTTATTTTCATTAACTGTTTATCCCGTACCGTCCCAATCACATGAGTAATGTTAAAGTTGACAATCGTCGAAAAACCATGAAAGAATGAGTCCGCGAAGTAGCGAGGAGCGACTACTGTATTTTGCTAACAGACATGTGACCACAAGCACAGACGTGGGCAAAACATTATTTCCTGCTTTTTGCTTTTCACTGGTGGGTAATAATACAAGAAAAAAGGAAATGTTCAGGGGAAGGATATGATGGAATGGTGTTGGGTAAAGTCTCTGGTTTTTATGGGAGCTGGCTTGGTCAGAGTATGCTTATTGTCCAAGTAAACACGCACACACACAAATTAAACACACACTGTTTCACTTTCATAAAAGCTACTGACTAAGGAGTAAAGTCAGTGGAGAATGGAGACATTTTGGGAGGAAGTGAGACGTAATCTATGAATTATATATACAGACTGGGACTATGATTTCATTCAGGGGAAAGCCCACCCCCACCACCCACCCATTTTTCCCTCTTCTTTTACGCACTAGGCCTTGCCTTGCTTTTCACTGATGCAAATAAACTCTGACAACTTTCTGTTGTCCTGTCATTTTTAATACTTCTCTTTGTATTTCTTGCCACAGGTGGAGGCGGAAAACGGAAAGGAAGGAGCAAAAAATGGAAGGAGATCCTTCGCTTCCCCCATATAAGCCAGTGTGTTAACATGAGTAAAACTGTTGGTACGTGTTTGTTTGCTCCCCTCATCTGAAGAGGGTGAGGTTGTTGGTTTTTTTCCAAACGCTGTGTGTTAAAGTGTTGGCTTCTTACTTTTGCAGAGCGGGATTATGCCAGCATCTGTGAGAAACAGCCGATTGGGCGGCTTCTCTTTCGCCAGTACTGTGAGACCAAACTCATCTTGCAGCGGTGCATCCAGCTACTGGACGCAATGGTAACACACACAACACAGCAACAATATTATTCCCCGACTGGGCTCAAAACAAAACCTTGCGATCACACAAAAAAAAAGATAATGCATGGTTATATATGTGAGATGCAGTGGATAAGACTTCTTCATGTCAGTCCTTGTTGTTGTGGAGCTGCTCTATGTGCAGGTGTCAGGAAGCTGTGCAGAGAGGTTCTGAATCTTCCTGCAGCCATGTTTCAGTGAAACCTGTGTCAGCCAGGGAAATTGTAGAGGGAAGAAACGGTGCTCTCTGTTGCAGACTTTCCCCTTATCTGTGATGTCGTCTCTCCAACCCCTACAGTGTTTCTCCCAGTTCACTTGTCCTGGCAGGGCGCTCATATCTTTTGTGATTTTTGTCGATGGGGGTGTTGAGACAGAGAAGTCTGTTGCGTGCTGTTTGTACCGACAGTTTTTGAGCACTACGTCAGTGCCGGCAGTTGTCGACGGGGCTGAGGGGTGCAGTTTGGTAGGCGGGGCGCTCGGTCCTGTTGACAGAGCGGGGCGCCCTTCTTTTATAATGGTAGGGGAAACTCTGCCCTAGTTACAGGCATTAGTTGGGCTTTGGAAAGCTGTTTCCACATTTAATACTCATCATCTCAGATGTGCCGCTCATAAAATACCAAGGCTGGGAACCTTTAGGCATCTCACCATTCAGTTTGATTCTTATTCAAACTGCCGTGGAGCAATTATAAAACAATTATCAATGCATGTAGATTATCTGCAATTCTCGGGTTTGTAAATAAACATGAGGCAGCTGGTCAGCTTATGGTGTTTATTCAAAACACTGTGAAACCGAACGAGACAGAATTACAAATTAAATTGACAATGGCTTATTTTACATAAACACTCATTTATATTTTCTCAGGCCTAATAAAGAGCGCACAATAATCCATCTGTTATCTTTACCCGCTTCTTCCATTTTGGGTCACGGGGGTCGCCGGTGCCCATGTCCATCAATCACTGTGCGAGGGGCGGGGTACACCCTGGACAGGTCTCCAGTCCATCACAGGGACACATAGAGACAAACGAGACAAACAATCATTCACTCTCTCACTCTCACCTAGGGACAATTTAGAGTTACCAATCAGCCTAACATGCATGTTTTTGGTCTGTGGGAGGAAACTGGAGCACCCGGAGAAAACCCACGCATGCACGGAGAGAACATGCAAATCCATCCAGAAAGGCCCCCGGACCGGGATTTGAACCGGGGAACTGCTCAGTGAGAGGCAGCAGCTCTACCAGTTGCTCCACCATGCTGCTTGTGCACAATAATATTTACCATAAAATCCTAATATTCACTGGCTGCTGACCAACTTTTAGCATTGACGCTAACTTAACATTGAAAATATCATAGAAAAACTAACACATTTAGCGTTGTGTTAATGACTGGAAATGTATCCACAAATCAAGTGGTTGAAAATTATAACTTGTCATAAAGTTCTGATCATTTCTACTATTATTTACAGACACCATTTTTAAAGGAAACATGAAAAAGAGGTGAAAACACTCAGCTTCACCGCAACACGTTTCTGCTGCAGGAAGCTACGATAACTCTACTAATACTAATAACTTGCAACATCTACTTTACTAACCTTCTAAAAGTGGCATCAGAGTAAAGTTAACTAAATCAAGTTTTGACATTCAGAGTCATCCGTGTCTGTGATTTGATGCATCAAAAAATGGATTTTAACCCCAAATCCCTTTTTAAAAACAAATCTCTTAAGACATATTTATGCAACATCTGAACCATTAGGGGAATAAAGTTTTAAAATAAAAATTACTGTAGAAGACCCCAAAATAAGCACAGTACAACCAAAACTAATGAATGTAGGATCATAAAATCGTCTGATCGCTGCAGTGTGGTCTCTGAAGGTTCTTGAGTTTAACTTGTTTTTCCTGAGTCTTGTACGTTTGCACCAAAGGAAACTGCTACATCAGAAGTTCCCGTGGAGCTGTGGGTAAATCAGAAGACAGAAAGTGGGCAGAGCATCTTAAAGTCATTAAACTTCCATCAGTGTAGTGCCTTTCTAAAAGACTCTCTCACATGCCAGCCAGGGTTGTTTTCCTGCCATTAGCTTTTAAGATTTCATTAATGGATGTATGGAGTCTGACTGAAGACATTCTTAGACTAGGAAAAAATGTTGTTGTTTTAAACCATAATCAAATATAAGAGCAAAACTGTAAGAACCTGAACAAGATTAAAGTTTTCTCTGTTCAGAATAAACATTATTTGTATGTTTCTTAACTACATTATTTTGTTCACAATTTTATTTTATTCATTTTTTTGGGAGGGGTGCATTTAGAAAAAGCAAGGCTATAACAAAACAAAACATAAAGAAGGTGCATGTCACAGAGAAATTAGCAGGTCTTAATGCACGTAGAGGTGAAGCTACTGCAATGTTCCACATTTTTTATGTTACATTTAATTTTCTGCAACTATTAACCATCTTATCTTAACGCATGAAACTAGAAACTCACTTTTGGACATTTGCCTCAGATGTAAAACAAATTTTTTATATAAATGCACAAAATCTAAAAAAAAAATACAAAGATCAAAATAGACCATCATGCATTGCTGCTGGTCTCGGTGTTTGATAACGTAACAGAGTTTGCACAAATGCTGTCTACTAGCTCACCAAGTTTTTCTTCCTGTGGACAATGACTGGACATCTGTCCTCCGATGTCCCACCAGTGACATGTAAGCCTGTCGCAATAAACAATAAATCAATTAATCGCATGATAAATTAAAATTATCGACCTCATTTTCATTTATCGGCTTTATCATTTCTTTGTGCGTCTCTCTTTCTACTGAAGACACTGGATGACAAAAAGCTCAACTCTGGTGTTCTTCACTGACCCCTCCCTTTCTCTTTTCTCTTTAGAATATGTTTTAACGATCCAAAATCCCATTTTTGGATGGTTAAAAGCAGCTAAGCTGAGAAGCTAAGCTATGAGCGAAGCTAACAGGCCAACCTCGGGGGAAAAAAAACTCTTGTCTTGTCGAAGCTCCATAATTCATGGTTGAAACCCGTGCCTTCATCTAAAAAGTTGTTTTTCTCTGCAAAAAGAAGCTGAGAACTTGTTTACTGTTTTTTTTTTAATTAAAAGCTTTGTGTGACAAATGCTATGCTAAAGATCCTGATGAATTCTCAATGCGATGCTATGCTATACTAGCTATGCTAAAGAGCTCAAACTACACCGAGCATCTGCCATTTTGAGAACCAAAACACAGGAATGAGAGACAGTCCATGTCACGTCAAGGGGCCTCCCTCCCATTTTTCTTAAAGAGACACGCTGCTCGCTCCCTCACTATCCTTCCTTTGGTTCAAACAGTCTTATACTGCCATCCACTGGTCAAAAATGTACTATACACAAAAATTACCCAACATTTTGTCTTAAATTCGACAATTACTAATTATTGTCAAATTTCAAACAGTATTATCATTTATCGCACTAATTTCTGAGACAATTAATCGCCCAGAAAAATTTGTTATCGTGACAGGTCTAGTGACATGTCTTCTCTCTTTTTGAGCATCAGGACCTCAAAATCTAAATTTTAGTCTTTGGTTAGCATTCTACCGTATTTTCCAGCCTACCAGTCCGACCTTTTTGCCTAATTTGCATACCCTGCGATGTATACGCCAAAGCGACTTATTTGTGTTTTTTCCCCATATTTATAAACCATTTTTTGACTGAGATATGACCATTTTCATTCATTCTGACATCGAAAATATTGAACACTACCATTTTCATCTGCTAGATGGCACTCGAGTAGTATAGCATGCCGTTGTGTCATGTAATGGGCAAAAGTGGCTATTAATGACACAATTGGCTTGCCATAGTAAGCCACCTTCATCCAGCTCTGGGATCATGCCTGGAGCAACCATCAAATCAGTTTCATTTTGCTGTGCCGCCCTGGCTAAGTGCAGCTAAGTTGACCATTGAAGTGCATTTATTAAGTAAAAGTTCAACTGAGACACACCTTTACTATAAAGTCAAACAAACAAATAATTGTTTTAGGTGCTTATCTTGTTAAATTTCAAAGAAATGCACAGCGTTCCTCCTTCCTGATTTGCTCCCTCTGCGCGCTCCCGAAGTACCGAGGCAGCAAATACTTTTGAAATGCAACTTTTTTTTCCATTAAAGTGCATTTATTAAGGAAACGTTAAAGTGAGACACACCTTCACTATAAAGTCAAGCAAAAAAAAATAAGTTTGTAGGTGCTTATCTTGTTAAATTTTGAAGAAATGCACAGCGACTCGTCCCTCTGCGTGTTCCTACTTCTGCAAATAGGCTTTTGAAATGCAGCTGATTTGACTGTCAAAGTGCATTTATTAAGCAAAAGTTAGACTGAGACACACGGTTCCTATAATTTTGAGCAAACAAATAATTGTTTTTAAGTGTTGATCTTGTTAAATTCTTGTTAAAGTCCTCCCCTGCATGCTCCCGCGGCCGCTATTTGGCAGCCCATCGTTTTTCACTTATCGCTACGGATCCCCCTGTGATAAACGAGGGACTACTGTACTTTAATGCGTTGATGGTGCCTTTCCAATTTGTAAGCTGCCCGTGCCTGGGACACTAATGCTCCCCCATACCATCAGAGAGGCAGGCTTTTGAGCTGCGTTTAAATGGTCCCCTCTTCTTTTTAGTACAGAGAATGTGGAATTCGTTTTTTCCAAACAGAATTTCTCATTTTGATTCATCTGTCCACAGAACCATTTTCCACTTTCCTTCAGTTCATTGTACTGGAGCTTGGACCCAAAGAAAGCAGCAGCATTTCTGAATAGTATTTACATATGGCTTCTACATCACTTGTACATCTAATGATTACTTTCTGGGAGTTTCATTAATATAATTTCAGTAGCCACTGTGATATTTTGCTAACAAACCCAGTGTTTAGTCTTTAACAATTAATGCCAAATTTTTAAGGAAAGATGTTGCACAGTAAGTAGTGCTCAGAGCATGTGTTGGAGAGGATTCTCAGCTACTGCAACTCCACTTTTAGCTCAATATGTGGAAAACTGTCTTAGATATAGTCATACCAGTTGGCTGTGGCGGCCACCTTAGATTTGGTTGTCACCAAAAGTTAAACAGTTGTAGATCCATTGAAACAATTTCTTTGTAATGGTTTCATTATCCGATCACTGTTGCAACATTTTGCCAACGTTACAAAGAACACAGCCACCCACACACAAAGACATGCACTAAAATATTATTGCCTTTTCACCTTTGGCCGTAGGGGATAAAAGGTACTAAGAAAATTGTGTTTAACTTCCCACCTTTTTTATTGTAAAATCTTGATCAGCTCTGTAAAGGACAGTCTTCTGTTATCTGAGCAGCTGGAGAAGCAGTGCGCTCTTATGTATGAATGTTTGTCTACAAACACACAGCAGTCTGTTATTTCAGTGTACTCACTCCGATCGCATCGTACGACACTTTAACTGAGTAGTTATTACTCCTCTGGACGTTTACCCAGCTTGTTGGCCCTCTCCACTCCTCCCATATCGCTCTCTCTCTTTCTTCGTCTAGACTAAATACCTCCCACATGACACATTTAAGTCTTTATCAACACCCAGAATATCTTTGTGGGCATGTGACGGGGACAGAAAGGACGGCATTGTTTCCCAATCCCAACATGCTCCCATCCCTCCCCTCTCCTTAACCGCCCGCTCCTAAAAGTGACCACCTCTGTGAGAGGGAAACAACTTGAACCACCCACCAAACCCACGTTAATGCTAATTTTGCATTCAGTCCATGTGACGACCTCCGATGCCTGCTGTGCATTATACACGGCACTTCATAAAGCAGGTCTGAGTGCGATTACTGACGAGCAGATGCTTGTTTCAAGTGATTTAATAACACTCTCTGAGGCCTGGGCAGTTGTGAGGTTTGCTCGACAAATTATGTCATCTCGTCATCGTGTTTTTGCTTTATTTAGATTTTTTTTTTTTTTTTTTTTAAGAATATGTTTAGTTAGCAGTTAATGAGGGAAAACAACTGAAGAGGTGTGAGAATGTAAGAGGGCGTGTGTGTTTCGGTGTGGACTGGAGGAAGTGATGCACTCGGGGGTGGCAGTGGTTCCTCATACATCACAGTGGGGTGCACATGTGTACAATTTGTGTGTTTGTGTGTTGGAGCCCCTCTGCTTTCAGAAAGTCAAAGGGGCGTCTTCTTTCCCCTTTGGCTAACCCCCCACCAGCAAAAGGTGGGAGTCAGACTTACCCTGAATGTGAGCGCATGATCGTGTGTTTGTGAGACTGTATGTTGTGTCGCAGTTTTTTTAATCTTTGTTGGTCACTCGTAATCCTAAATGTTTATTTGTAAACAACATGTCACTGGACATGTTAGTTGAAGCGTCATTTTCCCTTGAGCTCCCGGCTCATGTCTGCACGCAGTGTGCACGCATACATGCATGTGTGTGTGCTTTGTAGTGGAAAGCTGGTGACGCTGGTGTGACACACTGTGACACTCCAGGATCTCAAGGAATCCCACCGTGTTTACTGTGGGGTTGCCAGGCAACACAGGACCATGCTGGGAAAAAAAAACCCGTCGGCACGAGCGCCGCACCTCCTCCCCACGCCTCGAGAAGTTAAAAGGGCACGCTACGAGTCGCGTCACGGGGCTTTTCGTGTTGTTGCCTTTGCAGAAAGTGTGCAGGCCGCATATGGTGGACAGCAGCACATGTTCAGCGCGAGAGTGACAGCGAGACTGAGATACAGAGAGGGAGAGGTGTGTGTCTGTGAAGTGGTCACGACTACACAACATCTGCTTCAAAATGCAGCTAAAGCAACAACAAACTCTGGCTCTCCAATGAAAAATCAGCTGACAGTAGCTGGGTAGGTTTTCTTCATCGCTCGCCACCAACGCAGAAAATAACATTCATGATTGTGGTGGGTGTGTTCGTTTCCTTGTCAGTAAAAAATCTCCTGCACTCCTTGATGGATTTAAATGGAAAGTTGCAACTGACCTTAGAAAACACAGAAATGACTATAATGCAGTCAAGTGTTACAAATAAATACCTCTAATTTGGTGTGGTAGGAGCTGAGAGCCATTCCTAACGCATATTGTGAACAGATTGTGCATGAGCGTTTTATAAATGTTACCATTAACTGGTTGGAGTCAGCTCTGTTAACAAAATATCACTGGGCAGAAGACTTTCACATCTACAGCTGATAGCTGTTGGAACAAACACCCTTCAAGATGGCCACCACAGCCAACTCTCCTTAGACAAAAACAGGGACTATAATTTAATCAGTTTTATCAATATGGAGCTAAATTTTGATGTGAGATCAAAACTCTGCATGAAGGTGGCGGGCAACGTGCATTCCTCTTGGAGTGCTGGGCCTGTAATTGCTTTTGTCTTTTCACATTTGAAACTCAGTGAGTTGGAAGAGTTCAGTATCTGGCTTTAGCTCAGAACTATGTCATAAATCATCGTTGGCGTGATTTAGGAGAATATTTTTAATCTGAGACCTTGTTTAGTTCCTCAATTTTTAGAAGTTATGGACCCTTTTCCCCCCGTGGTTAAAATAACTTTGAAAAGCAGCTTTTTCCATGAAATGACCACCTTGTTGTTGTTTAGAAATGGATAAATGGTTGATCTTTGACCAGGCGGCCATGTAACAATAGCTAATGAAATTCACCAGACATACTTTATGACCTGATAACCATTAAGGTATTATTAATGTTTTACATCTGCTGTTGTAGATGTAGTAAATTATTAAACAGGTTGTAATTATGCTATTATAAATTGTACCTTATGAGAAAGTGACTCTGTACTTGGATCAAAAGCCCTAAAAACACAGAACGGTGCCTTTATTGATGTTGATAACAAAGTGCGAGGCAAGTCATGCACTTTACGTATATTGTTTGTCTATTTAATTTTTTTAGGAAGACTATGAGGTGACCCCAGATGAAAAGAGGAAAAGCAGAGGGGAGCAGATCATCAAGACATTTCTCTCAAAACAAGTGAGTTGTTTTAGCTCACTTTTTTTTCTCCATGTAAAAATCGCACTTGTAACTATCACACATGTCAAACTCAAGCGCTGCGAGCCAAATCTGGTCCCCCAAGATGATAATTTAAATTAGGGATGCACGATATTGGATTTTTGGCCAATATCCTATATACCAATATGTTAAAACTTATTTGGCCGTTAACAAATACCAATACTGATGTTTTCCCCTAGATCTGCTTTCAGAGACTACATAGGTTTCTCTGCTGTGGAATTAAAATACTACATTATTCTTCAGGGTTTTTGTCATTTTGGTCTGCTACCAAATGCAGATGCCAAAAAGGGAGCTGAAAATGATGTAACACATCAACTTGTATTATGTTTAATGTCAACATTTTTCATGACATTTACTCTCTTTAACACAATGACAACACTCGAACGGTGCAAATTTGTAAATTTTCACAAATCTAAACTCAACGGCGTGCGTGATGTCATAACGTGCTGGCACTGCAGGCATCCTTGTCACTGGGATGTCATGCAAAAACAGCGCTATGCACATATATATACATATATATATATATAAAGCACCTTCTATATCGGTGAGTTATTTTGATGGAATGGCCGATATTGAACTTTATTGCTAATATCGGCCGATACCATGCCGATAATATCGTGCATCCCTAATTTACATGTAAAATATTGTATCTCTTCTATTTTTTTCTTTTAAAAACTGATAAATACATAATTTAGTATAGACTTCTCTTACCAGCTGGCTAATGTGGTGCAAATGACAAAAAAGAACTTTGACTTGACTTAACTTTGAAGTCAGAAAGACGGCTGGATCATTCTGTCATTATTGATTCTGATGTGCAAAGAGTAACAGGACGTCAAATGAGACAGATTAAACTCTTGTTGATGAACCTATAACCAAGAAAAGATATTGGGTATCTTGACTCAAGTTAATGTATCTGCTGAAAGTGGCCCAAGACAAAGTTTTTAAATTTTGTCTCCTTTTGGAACCTGAGTTTGACAGCACTATAGGGCCTAATATTATACAAATTTGATTTAAAATGGGAAATGTAGACAAATTGTTTTGGTTTGCTGCTCAAAATTCTGCAAAGATATGTGCAAAAGTGCTATAAGTCTGTGTGCACAGTATAATCTACTGACTATATAAGCTGAAGTTTTGTGTCTCAACATTGAGAACTGTTGAGTTTGTGTGTGTGCATACGTTGTGACCAGGTGTGTTTACGTGTGTCGTTGCAGTCGCCGCAGCGAGTTGACGTAGCGGAGGTTTTTGCAGAGCGATGCAGAGAGAACCTGGAGCTCAGTCCTTGTAAGGAGATCTTCAGCGACTGCCGCAAGTGAGTTGTCATTCCTTCGCTCTCACCTGGACACCTGTTTTTCTCGGATATGTATTTTTTATTTTTCTCAGCTGGCGTAATATTGCCGGGTGTACTTTGACTGAGTCACTGGTGTTTTTGTGTTGGCCCAGGGCTGCCCACGAGTACCTGAGTGGAGCTCCGTTTGCAGACTATCAGAACAGCATGTACTTTGACCGCTTCCTGCAGTGGAAGATGCTGGAAAGGTTTGTTTGTTTTTTGTTTGTCTGGATCCATCTCATGGGTTTTAGACAATAAGTGCAAATGCAGAACACGAGCACAAACACACACTCTGTTAATAAAGGTTAAATAGTTTTTAGAGGTCATTTAGTTCATGAAACCAGCCTCTGCAAACACTTTGTAGTGTTTTTTTATCGAGGGTTTCTGCTGGAATTAGTTGTTTCGTGCTTAAAAGTCATTTTTATCTGGTTGAATGTTTGTGTTCACTGAAGTCTGAGCAGATTCCTGTAGTCTTAAAGTTGGGGGCAGAAGTGAAGCTCTTTGTAATCTTGTTTACTTGCTTTCAATCATATTTTATGTAGAAATCAAATAGATTGCCTCCAGATTTCCAAAGTATTCATTACCCTTGTCTGTCAATTAAATATACTGATAGTTGTTTATTTAATACAGCAGGTGGATGGTGGGGATTTAAAATTGTATTTTTTAAAGGTTAAGCCACAGTCAGTGCTTAGTTTTAGCAGCTTTAAACTTTATTTACTAAATCGATTTAACAAGAAAAGGCTGCAGTTAAAATCTCCTCTGGCTGCAAGGTTTGCTTGTTTATTCCTTTTCTTCAGAGATTACCAGAAGAATTACACTACAGTTAATGTTCAGAATGGAAAAAGAGGTGACAAAGACAAAACGTTACAATGTGAAGACAAAACTCAAACCAGTTAGTGTCAGAGCTGGAAATATAAAATGTCCTAAATAAAAAACAATAATGGAAAATGTTACTACTAATTGTTTAAAATCCCAATCTCAGCCGAAACAAATGTTGAGTCAACACTGAGACTGAACATCAAACAAGTTGTATCTTAAAATGAAATGTATGTAAAGCCTTAAAGAACCGCACAGACTGGGGTTGACCCTTTAAAATAAAGTTAGAAACCACCTCAGTCCACATCATATATGGAAATATATGCAAAAGATGCATGGGGAGTTGAATCCAGCGTAAAGTCTGTAACTTTTCAATTGATTGGTCAGAAATAAATCCTAAAAGTGGATGAGTTTAAATATCTGGGTGTCATTCTAGATTCCCACCGTAACTTTGAGGCTCACATTAGGAAAGTGTTTAAAACCGTTAAGGCAAACATAAATTGTTTTTGTCTTATAAGATCATGTTTATGTGGAAAATCTGCTCAGTTGTACCTACATGCCATGATTCTCTTATTTTTCTTACTGTGTCACTGTCTGGAGCAAAGCAACTCAATGTGCTTTCAACCTATGAGGATGCTGTATTCACAAGCACTGAACGTTTTAGACCAAAAACCATTGAAGTGGCACCACTGTAAAATACTGGAGAAATATAATTTCTTAAGCTTTGACAATATTTTGAAATGTTCTTGTTTAAAGTTAACTTTTAAATGCATTAATGTTCTTGTCTCAGAGCTGGTGAGCAGAATGATTTTAAAAGTCAGCAGCTCAGGAGTTGCAACAAGACGTGCAGTTGATGGAGACTGCAAACCTGTGAAATACATAACATCATCTGGTCAATGTTCCTTCTCATTTAAAGGTCCTCATATCTGGAACAGTTTACCTTCAGCAATAAAAACATGAACAGACATTAGCGTTTTTAATTCCCAGGTGAAAAAATGGTTGAAACAAAACCAAATCTGTGAACACTGAGCCCCATGGGGATGGAGGAGCAGGCGTGTGTGTGAGGAAACTGTGTAATTTTAATTAAACTTTAATTTTATTTTAGCTGGTTTTTATATAAAAGTCCAACCAAGGTTTGCAAATTAGTCTGTGGCTAGAAAACCTTCGTACAAAACAACTGTTGCTTTGATCTTGTCATGTAACATTGTTTATTGTGCTGTCCTTGATCAAATGAACTTGAATGAATGAATGAATTATTTCACTTTACAGTTCTGAATTGGAAAAATAAATGTAATACAGTAGTCCCTCGTTTATCGTGTGGGATCCGTACCCTGAAGCCGCGCGATAAATGAAAAATCGTGAAGTAGGAATAGTAGTACAAGTAGTAAGTAGTTATTTTTGTGTATATATATATATATATATATATATATATATATATATATATATATAT